GTGAAATGGCGGCAGGAGATGAGGAAGGGCGGGCGGCGGAGCTGGAAGAGCAAGAGCCCGAGCCTCAGAGCTTCAGGGATCTGGTGAGGCTGGGAGGGAGTCGGTTTTGCTTCCGCTATTCCCTCCCCTGTTCTGAGGAGTATCCTCCTGCCCCCGCTGCTTGCCCTCAGTCCCCGTCCCGCCTATCAGTCCGGGCGGGCGGGAGCTCCTCGCAAAGCGCCGTGTGCCAGGCCGTGCCTCACACCGCCCCGCCGCGCTTGGCACGGCGTCGGGCTGCGGCCCTTCGTGGGCTGGAGGCGGCCCCAGACCCGGCGGCGTCCCCGGTGCGCGGTGGTAGACACGTGCACTGCTGTCGCGTCGACTCGCGGGCGTGGTGCTGTGCCCGGGCAGGGGCTCTGGTTTGTTCAGGCCTCTACTCCCGTGAGGTTGGTGTTGCCGCTCCGGTGTGCGCTCCTCAGCTGCTGCTTGTATTTTCAGTTGTGTTACCTTGCCCAGGCGTTTTCCTTTTTCCATCCTCATGGGATACTCTTAGAGCAAAAGAGAGACAGCTGTGTGTGTGTGGAAAGTTCCCTGTGTAAACTAGGGAAAAAATGACGAGTTTCTTTCTGACCACAGTCACCTCTAACAGTTCTGAGGAAATCTGAAGTACTGCTGGAGGTGGGCATCACTGTGAGCAGCCTGCCCTTTCTGGTAGTTGCATTGAGGGCCTGATGAGGTTTGTCTCTGCTAGAGACAAGCTTGACTCTGTTGTGGTGTGTTTAATGATTTAATTTAGGTCTCCTTGGTGATGTCTGTTTCTTTTTTCTCTTTTCACTAATGTTCAGGGAGTGACAGATGTCCTGTGTGAAGCTTGTGACCAGTTAGGATGGAAGATGCCAACAAAGATTCAAGTTGAGGCTATTCCAGTGGCTCTCCAAGGTGAGCAGTGTGCTTCTCTGATCCTGAATCTAGGGCTCCCCTGGGAGCTTTATGTGAAGGAATTTTGCTGAGTGAAAAGTGACAGGGATGTAAGCGTTCTCACTTCATCATTGAAGGTATCTGTTCAGAATTAGTATCTGGTCATTCTGGTGTCCTTCCCAGGTTGAGTTTAGAATACTAATTTGCCCTACAACACTGCCTGCAATTGCAAACTTTCAAATGGGTACAAACATGGGTTCTTGAGTGTTCGCTACTGTTGTGTAGTTCTTACACTCCATGTTAAATAAAATTACTGTCAATCATTTGAGTCGCTAGTCTATGTTGACTTCTTTCTTTATTAAATATTCAGGGATACACAGGAAACTTCTCATAAAAGTGTGTGTCTGTTATTACAGGTGCCTTGATTTGTTACATAACTTGTATAGTCTGCTTTGCTGTGAGCAGGCAATTCTTTGAAATTAGATTTCTGGAGTGAGTAATAGCTAAACCACAGTGACTTTCTGTAAACATTCTGGAATTATGGGAAAATAGATTACTGAATTCAGCAAATACTTCTGCCTCTAGGATATTTAGTTTGTGTTTTGTTGGGGTTTTTTTTAAACCCTAAACACTGTGAAGCAGGAACAGAACAGTGTAGTGACAGAATGGGAGTAAACTTTCAGTGACTACTCTATCCTAGTACTTAACTGTTTTCAGACTCTTTTACTCCACATATAAGATTCTCTTGAAAAAAAGCAAAAGTAAGATTGCATTCCTGAGAACTTGTCTCCAGTTTAAGGCTGTTAGCAGTATGTTCTTCTCAGATGTAGGAGTTCAGGAGGTCAGAATGGATTCTACTGATGAATTCTACCCTGTTGCCTGTACTGGTTTTGGGTAGAGGACTTGCTGTTCTAATCCTTCCTGCTGCAAGCTGGTTTAGATTACTCTCTTAGCAATGGCACAGAATTGATTTTGGCTTGTGGAGAGTGAGTTTTGGTAGTACTGTTGTCTTGTAGTTGGTATGAGGTAGGTCTCAAACACTAGTCTATTTCCTTGTAAGCCAGTGAACAGACAATAGTTGGTCTAGACTGTTTACCTGGTAGAAGCAGTATGCTGTAAATGGACAGATTTGAGAAATAATAAAGCTTTTTTTGAACCTGAAATTTATATGAAAACCTGCGTATTGGCAGAAGTTTAACTAGAGAATGGAAAGGATTGAAACTGTAATTGTACAAATGAAGTCATACTTTCTGAAAGTACTTGAGAGATGTCCTGAAATTCTCTGTTTTGACCCTTTGTTCTTCATTACCTATTGTATGTGTCTCTCTTTTTTCATACACTTGGGGAATTCTTGTGCTTTCTTGCACTGTGCTTTAAAGACTTCTTTATCTGGTCTAGACTTGTAAGATTTTTTTTTTTTCCCTCTTTTTCTCCTCCATATAGGCAGAGATATCATTGGACTGGCAGAAACTGGCTCTGGAAAAACAGGAGCCTTTGCTTTGCCAATTCTTCAAGCACTTCTGGAAACACCTCAGCGATTGTTTGCTCTTGTCCTCACACCGACAAGGGAGCTGGCTTTCCAAATCTCAGAGCAGTTTGAAGCTCTTGGATCCTCCATCGGTGTCCACAGTAGTAAGTAGTTTTGTGGTATTGGAGCAGTTTTTCTGAAGACTGAAGTTTGTCAGTTCTAGATTGCAAAGGATAAAAGTAGAGACTATTTTTGTGGAGGGTTGAACAAAAGGTCAGAAAAGTTTGTGATACTGGAAAACAGATCTGGTATCAGGTTTGGGAAAGAAAGACATTATGGTTTCTCCTCATGGAGTAGTCTGCAGCTTTTCTACATTTTATGTTCAAATAGTTAAAGATGGAAATAGAAGAGAATCTTCTCAATAGTGAGTTTGTGTCCTGTGAAATTGCATGGAGCTCTGCTCTACAGTGTCATGTAATTTAATCTTTTCTTCAGACTGTTGTATTGGGTCTTTAGATATTCTCTACAAACATAAAAGCTTTGCGGGTATTTTTAGAATTCCTAAATTTTTGCAGCTGAGTTTATCTGAAAGGAATGTATTCTGCCTGTAGCTCTTCAACTGTGACAATAAAATACCTGGGGCCAGTAAGGACATAATCGTATGGTTTAATGGGCCTGGGAAGGTCAGGTGTGCTAAAACAAATTGAATTATTGTAAAGATAAGTAGCTTTTCATTTGTACAGACTTGTGAGTGTCAGGGAATAGGAGGAAACACTATGGTGCCAGAGATGGCTCTGATATTCACTATATTCTATTTGTCCTGCAGCGGTTATTGTGGGTGGAATTGACACCATGTCTCAATCTCTGGCCTTAGCCAAGAAACCACATATTATAATTGGTAAGTTAATGTGCTGGGAGTACAGGGTATGAATATTATCAAACTGCAGTTGTCCAAAGAAAGAGTACCAAAAGCTTTTGTGTATTTGAAGGAGAAGTGAGAGTACATCCTTCGTTTGTTTGCATTCTGAGACCTGAGTACTGGCTTGTTAATGTTTCTAAAGTATACACCAGTAACAGCCTTGCTGCTAGAAGCTCATTCCAAAGCATTCCTCCTATGTCTTTGGCTTGTTTTTTAATTCTCCTCAAGTATTCAAAATGCTTGTCTCATCCTTTTCAGTACAGCTCGTCTACAGTCTGTTTTGTTTTGCATATTTTTAGGGGCAAAGGGGGAACCAAGGCCATTCTTCAGCAAGCCTGACTCCATTAGTCTTATTTCAAAACACTCTGAAGATATCTTATGAAAGAGTCCTTCCAACAAAGAAATTTGGCTTTACTTCTTTTGGGCGAAGAATCCCATTTCTGTAACATATAACTCTCTTGTCTCTTTGGGTTGTTTCCTTTGCTTTCGTTCTAAATTTGCTCTCTTGATTTTGTTGGCAGCAACCCCGGGCCGTCTAGTTGATCATTTGGAGAACACAAAAGGCTTCAACTTACGAGCTCTAAAGTTCCTAGTGATGGATGAGGCTGACCGGATTCTTAACATGGATTTTGAGACAGAGGTAAGAATCTGCTAAAAGAAGAGTTTGGAACACCAGAAGAGTCCCCTTAAAATAGCTTCATACAGTCACATAGTAAACACTGAGCTGTTCTGTAGAAATTAATAGCAAATTGTAACTAAGATCTAATAACTGCACAAAAGTCTACAGTGGGAATAGAACTTAACAAAGTTCCGCAGAGCACTAGCAAGACAGTAGGAGGCATTTTGTCTCTGAAATCTGCTGGTTTCTCTGGCGTGCCTGACATTGACACAGTGTAGAACACTATCACATGCACGTTCCTGCAGGAATATTGTCTGATATTTTCACTGCTTATTGGACTTCTGGAGTTCACAATGCCTAATTATTAACAAGCTATCAGCTCATACCTTCCCTTTAGAAGAGGGGAAATTTGTTTCTACTATAAGTCTTAGTTGTGCACATACATTGCTCTTCATTTGGACGATGGTTACATTTGGAGGAGGCTTATGTATTGATTGCTGTTGTATTCAGAATTTTTATTTCCTTTCTATTTTTTACAGGTGGATAAGATCTTAAAAGTGATTCCTCGAGACAGGAAGACATTTTTGTTTTCTGCTACCATGACCAAGAAGGTGAGAGCAGAGTATTCTGCTTTAGTTCTCTTTCTATCAGGCTATATGTTGACTAGACTGTACAATACAGGTTTCTTGGTACTAACTTATAATGATCTTCCCAGGTTCAAAAACTCCAGCGTGCTGCTCTGAAGAATCCTGTTAAATGTGCTGTTTCTTCCAAATATCAGACCGTTGAAAAACTACAGCAGTACTACATTTTCATCCCCTCCAAATTCAAGGTAATGTCACTTCTGTTTCTTCCCTCTTCTGGTTGTGTCTTGTTTTACTGTTCCCACATCTGCCCAATATCTTGTTATCTGCTCTGGCTTATACTTACTTTCTCCTTCTCTGTCTGTTTCTTTACAGGACAGCTACCTGGTTTATATCTTGAATGAACTAGCTGGAAACTCTTTCATGATATTCTGTAGTACCTGTAACAACACTCAGAGGACTGCCCTACTGCTCCGCAACCTGGGGTTCACTGCCATTCCTCTCCATGGGCAGATGAGTCAGGTATGGATATATCCTACAGAATGTAGTAGACAGGAGACCTGTCACTTGAGAAGTGGGCTGTACCATACAGAGTCACAACTACCTTATAGAAGCTAGTGGACTGGACTGACCCCTAGAAATTTAACTAATGTGAATGCTGCCACTGATTCTGTAGTAGTTCAAAAAGAAATTAAGAGATTTTTGAGTAATCTACCCCAGTTCTTCTGTACAAGTATTTCAACAAGAGCATATTAACCAGAATAAGCATTTTTCTCTCATTCCCTTTTTGACCCCCTCTCTTCCAGAATAAACGCTTGGGCTCTCTAAACAAGTTCAAGGCAAAGGCACGTTCTATTCTGCTGGCTACTGATGTTGCAAGCAGAGGTCTGGACATCCCACATGTAGATGTGGTGATAAACTTTGATATTCCTACACACTCTAAGGTAAGCTAGTCTGTGTGCTGGCTGAGAACTTCTGGCCACCAGGAGGCATAATGAAACTAGACAAAAAAACAAAGACACTTTTTCTCTGTTCTGCTGACTGGAAGTTTAGTTCACACTTCTGTAGATTAAAAGAGGTAGTTCAGCCTGTGCAATTGAGTTGGTATCTCAGTTTTGTTGGATGGCCTCATCTGGGTAGTAGAACTGATACCATAAGGGACATTCTGTGTCTTTATATTTCTCCTCAGAATATGTGTTTTGCCATATTATGTTAAAGGGCTTATAGACTTTGAATATAGTTTTAACATATTACTAGTTTCAGGTAGTCATCTCTGTTCCTGTGGTCCATGTCTGCCTTAACATTTTAAACTGTGTTTAAAAAAAATTAAAACTCTCCCATTATATTTAATGAGGATTTGATCAAGAAAGATGTCTTTATTATATTTTGCATTCATATCACAGAAGTACAGCAAACTGAAAAAAAGTGAGTTACTCTACCTTACAGAAAGTGCAATGTTATCTTAGGGGTGTGACTTTGTTTGCCAGCCTAGTTTTGGAAAGCATACCAACATGCATTTCAAGAATTGCTGTTGTTCTTTATAATGATTGAAGATGATACACATTGCAAACATAATAAAGTATGGTGGTTCTTTTGAAGACACTGATTTTGACATTGTAAAAGGACAGAAGTGGAAAAAAAAATAATGGTGGGGGCAGCAGCTTAAATGACATTGTTACAGTTTTTGTGCCCCTCTCATCTAACCATGTCACAGCACACATCCATTCTCATGATGCTTCCTTTCTCCACAGATCCAGCATGGAGAAGGGAGTATTTAATTTTCCATAATGCAGTATAAACCCTGGAAAATAGTCTAGAGTAGTGTAAACAGAAGACACTCAATAGATCAGATGCTTCCAAATTGTTCACATTCATCCTCCCTTTCACTGTGCTTGACAAATTTAAATCTTCTTGCCAGACAGTTTATCTGGAAGATGCTGATCTAGAGCACTAGATCCCAAGACTGAAAATGCAATCATTGACTCACTTAAAATATTAGCTTTCCAAGGAATTGATAGTTCATTAGCAAAGTCACATATTGCAACTTTTGTCCTGCAGTCTTAATAATTGGAGGTGGTCTTCTTCTTTAGAAAGAAGAATTCAAATGTTCAAACCAAAGGTATGTTTCTACAGGCTGGCATCTTTGCAAATCCTAATGCTGCACGCAGTCCTGACTACTTAATCCCGGCTGTATTTTCTCCCCATTTTCTTGTTTTTTCCTAAAGAAAAATTATATGGACTGCTTTCCCATTACTTCTGTTTTGTGTTTGGTGCACATATCTTCTTGCTTACCAAGAAAATTATTTTCAGGATTACATTCATCGTGTTGGGAGAACAGCTCGGGCTGGGAGATCTGGCAAATCTATCACCTTTGTCACACAGTAAGTGTTAAAATGTGGCAGACTTATTCTTCCCAGATATGTTTTCAGAGCAGAAAACATCTGACCTCATCCTGGGTGAGAAGAAAATACTACTTCTAATTTTGAGGTGCCAGTGGATTTATTTAGTTAAAGGGGAGAGAATTTGAAGCCCGGGGTGGGAAGGGAGAAAAAGGTCTAGATAAATTCTAGAAGCAGGCATGTAATGCGCAAAACTGTATATAACTTAGTTGTATAATATACATACATTTTTTGTAATATATAATGCAGGTTAAGTAAGTGTGGCATTTTGATACATACTGAAGTATTTGTCTAAAAAAAGTCTTTGCAAAACACTTATGAACAGAGGTGAGCTGAACACAGTGAAGCCATCCCAAATGACGGCATCATTCAGATGCTATTAAGAGTTGCTTATGAGACCATCAGCACAAGTTAACAATATCTGTGGGCTGGAGATCAGGGGTGATGTCTGTGGGTGGTGACAGCTGAAGCACCCTCAAAAGGACCGATTCAAACTGGTGTCTTGTCTTTTATCAAGGTATGATGTAGAGCTGTTCCAGCGCATTGAACACCTGATTGGCAAGAAGCTGCCAGCATTCCCCACGCAAGAGGAAGAAGTTATGATGCTGACAGAGCGTGTGGCTGAGGCCCAGAGATTTGCTCGAATGGTGGGTGCTGACTTTTTGTCCCTCTACTTACTGTTGTAGTCTGAATTTCCTCAGGTGCCAGAACTCTTGGTCAATCTTTTGATCACATTGCAGGAGCTGCGGGAGCAAGGAGAAAAGAAGCGATCTCGACGTGATGATGATGATGACACAGAGGAAGCTATCGGTGTCAGGAATAAGGTGGCAGGTGGGAAAAAGAAGAAAAGGAAAGCCTTCTAGTTCAGTATTTGGACAGACTTTTTTCATTTTTCTCTTTATGGCTACATGAGCTCAGCAAAAACAGTCTACCAAGCTGTGTCCAGTGGATTTTTTTCAGAACTACTTAGGGAATTGGACAGTCCACCTGAAAAACAACTTCCTCTCTTCTGCTTCACCAGTTACAGACTGAGCTTGACTCTCTGTGGTACCATGGGATCGGTCTTCCTTTCATAAACACCAGACCATCATCTCTGGACCTGAAAGCAGCTGTGGTCTGGCCCTGCTCATTCACAGAGAGGTGCAGTGTGAGTGCAGCTTTCCCACTGCTGCAGCCTGTCTCACTACCCAGACTTGCTAATCTGAGGTCAGACAGGTTTGTCAGAAGAAAGAGAGGAAAAAGCTAAGAGAAGCAGCTGAGTTTCCACAGCATAGCTGTGATGCCCTCGCCTTAATGAAGAGACAGGTGTTGTGGAGAACTCCAAATATATTTTGTTTAATTTTAAAGCTGCCTGGTTTTCCTTTTCTTATCACTGACCTGTTCTGCTCATTTTAAATATTGGCTCTGCCAGGTTTTCTCCTTACGTCAGTCTTAGTGATTCAGATATGACATCAGTATCTTAGATATGTCAGCTGAAGAGTGGCCCAGCACAGAAAGAACCTGTTTCAGCAGGATTAGACTATTCGCTGCCTGGAATTCGATCCAGAATCTGTAATGATTGGCAAGATCAAGGAGAGGTCTGGGTTTTGAGGGGTGTTTTTTTTATTTCTGTGGCTGATTTGTTTAGTACTTACAAACCAACACAAGAGGGTGGTATTTACATGGGAAAACAGCTCAGAAGCTGGATGGTGAAGAAAAGCAGGTATCATACAGGCTTTTTTTGTGTTTTCCTATTTAGTTCTCTGTCTTAGGCAGAAGTTCAGTGCTGTATAAGTAGACTCTTGCAAGAATGAGATAAATGTACTTATCTTCCTATCAAACCAGAAGGTTAGTGCTAGTTCCCATTGGCAATAAAAATTTTCACACTGTACATTCCTACTTGTGGGAAGAGAAGGGTGAGAAGTGGCTTTGTGATTACTCAACGTGAAAATTTAGTGTCTGTTAGAACCACTTGTAAACTGGATTTTCTGCTGTATGAAAAACTTCAGAAGATTCATTTTTAGATCTAACTGGAAAGCAGAAACTACTGTAGTAGTCAAGATGAGCTCAGTGGTTACTTCATAGTGTCAGCATCAATCTATACATATGCATGCTAGTCAGAATGCTTTTATGCTTTGGGGGAAGCACATTTTGCAAAATTTCAGAAAACAGCATGATTAAGGGGAGTGTGTTTTTTCTTTTTTATTTGAAACCTCTCTGTTGTCTCTGTGAGGAACAAACATACCCTCTAGTGGTGTGAGAAGAGTGCCAGTGTTCTTCCTTTGTCTTTTTTTTTTGGTAGCAGTTTACTCAAATCTCCTGAATACTCACCTTTAAGTTTGATAGCTCTAAAGTAGTATAAGATCAGTGGCACATAATTAAGGGTACAGATCTTGGATATGTTGACTAAGAGTGTTCTTATAAAGCAGGAAGAGAGTGTGTACCATCATGGATCCCAGTGCAGAGAGGCAGAAGTGGAAGCCCAGTAATGAGAACATGTTAATTTTATGGGGCCCTCTGGTAAGGATCCCCATAGGTAAGAGGAAGCAATCTTAGAATGCACCAGAGAGAGGGGGATGAAGTGAGTGAGCGTATGTGTGGAGATTTAAGTGCTTGTTCACCATGGAGTGAGGGAACTCTCCTAACTGGTCTTCTGTCCTTCTGGATACTTGGAACAAAATTTCTTATCCTTTATAAGCAGGACAGGGATGGTCTAGCTATCAGCAAATGAAGATTAAAACCCTCTGAGGCTCCTGGGTCTCTGGAAAACCTCTTGGTGTTATTCCCAGCTATGTAATGGGTGACATGCAGAGTCAGTCCTTAGCCAATCCTGTAAAGTGATGTGAAAGGCAATTTTACTGATGAGAGAGGTGGGGCAGGGAAATTTCAGTAGTATGAGGCTTTCTTGAATAGATAGGTGGAGCCTCTAGCATCTCCCTGTGTTCTTTCCTGTATGGAATGCTGCAACATCAGACAGTGTCTATGTTGCACCTTTATGGGATCAAATATTCTCTGTCCCTCCTCTGCAGTTGCAAGAGTAACAGGAGAGAAGTAGAGCTGCTCCTTGCAAAAGGGTGCAGACACTCCTTGAGAGGAGAGACTCCTAGACAGCTGGCCACCTCCCTTGATTTGGAATCACAAGCCATAGAAACACTTGGCGCTAGAAAAGCAAAGGTTTTACCACACCCACATTCTCAACTGGTGCCTCACCTGCCACAGGTATGTGCAGTTCAACTAAAAATAAAAGGTTGGAGGGGCAGGAAATAGTTTCTTGTGACTATGCCATGAGGGCTGGGTCAGGGTGTTTGTATAACTGAGGTGGGATAGGGAGTGTCTAAAGATGTATTTGGTCAAAACAGAATTTACAGCAAGACTAAAGCAAAATCTTGCTGATTTAATGAAACATGAGGGGAAAAGAATGGAGTGAGACCTGTCTGGATAAAAGACGGTTGAGAAGATACCATCACTGGTATGTGTGTGGCTGCATACTTCTGTACAACTGATGCCAGTGTGTTTTTTTCAGTCATAAGGACTCTTGAGGGGCAGTTCTTGAAGCACAGCTCTGCACGCCTCAAGTCTTTGCACAGCAGGGAGTTGAAGTGGAAGATTAACCTTAGTGTGACTTAAGGTAGGATCAGGCTAACACAACCTGTCATTTTTTTGTGGTTAAAACTCAAGTCTTAGCAAAAGCTGTGTTCTTGAAAGATGTTTGGTGGGGATGTTTGCAATTTGAAACAGTTCTGCACTTCCCAAGCCCATAAAGAGAAAGTGTTTGTTTATATACTTGTTATATGTATTTTAATGTTTTATAGTTTTGATTTTTTAATACTGTATAGGCAACTACCTCAGACAGTAAAGAATGGGGTTATAGTGTCTAAGTCTGCTTAAAATAATCATGAGGAACACGGTCCTGTTCACGGACCTGTCAGCCCACTTTCCCTCTGCCCCAAAAAAGTAGAGATGACCACAAGGGAGAGATAAGTGTGATGACTTTATAGCAACACCTTTAACTTGTGCTGAGAAGAGGCTCACTTTAGGAGGGAACTCTGAATAGGAAGAGATTGGAAATCTGGAGGGCCTTAGTTTACAAAGCAGGACTGAAATTAGTAAACATTTCCAGTTTAGCGGAGCAGTGAAGAAGGAAAACATTCCACATACTTAAAAGCCCTTGGAAGTACTTTGAAAGGAATGGAATTGATTGCATGACCTGTGAAAGACACAGGCATGTACCAGGTATTTTGACATTGTATAAATGTGAAGTTGTGGTTTGCCTGCAATGGCGTGTGAGGAGCTTCTGTAAAATGTTGCAGAGCAAATGCTGTAAAAATCCAGCTTTGGTGCCAGAGGTGGTCCATGTAGTCATTCTGAATTTTTACTGCTCTTGCATATGCACTTACCAGTAGATGTTTTGGGAGAAAAAATGATGTGTAAACATGGAGAGTCAGAATATGAGTGACAGAACCTGTCTGGGGTTGACTCCAGAGCGTTGGGTTTGGTGTGTTTTTTTTTTAAAAAAAAAAAAGTTAAAAGACGCATTCTTTGTTTTCAGATGGCGCTTTTTCCCCTGGTCAGACTGTGAAAGCTCCTTATGAATAAAAATATTTAAAAGGGAGAGCTAAGGATATTTTGTTTCTCTGGCACCTAAGAAGTGGGAATAGCTGCTTGCTCTCTGGCCCCAGGGATGAATGCAGTGATGCCTCCAGTGCTGTATCCCTGAGGACCCTTTAGATATGGAAACTTACGATGATGAGCACTTTATTTCCAAACCCCCCCTGGGATGCAGGTACATGCTTTCCTGAACATAATAATCAAGTATATGGCATGTTTCATGGTAGGATATGTGTTGGGCTGCGCCAAGGTTATGCCTAGTTGTGCAATAGGAGACAGTGGCACTGTGCAGTCTTCAGTTGTTGATGTTATAGGCCCTCAGGGAGGGGTGGATGCCCTTGGAGCTTGCTCAGCACTTTTTCAGGGAAGCATCAGAAGCCTGAAGCTGTGTTTACCAGAGGTTATCACAGGGTATTTTGCATGCCCAAAGGGAAGAGAACTATTTTTATCTTTGTCTTCTCTGCTGAAGGATCCTTATCATTGCAGAGATGTGTATGCTGCTCTGTTGCCTCTCCATAAAATCAAGTCAAAGGATAGGACTGTCAAAAGTTTGTGTGTTCCCTTGGCTTGGTGCTTACTAAAGGTTCCTGAGGAAAGAGGAAATGGAATGTGGGCTTCCTATTGTCTTCCATTCAAATCCTATCAAAGGCAGAAAAAGAACCCTGTTGATAGGCCTCTCACAGAGACTGTTCCTTCTGTCCATCACTTCCTCCTCTCCATTTGATGTTGTTGAAGGTGGCAGGTTTTTTGGCATGTGTTGCCTATTTGGACTGTTAAGTGCTCTTTAATCCTTCTCAAGATTTTCAGACAAACATGTCTCTATAAAGAAAGGTAAATAGCAAAACTTGCTCTGCAAGTAATCTGTGTGAGGTAGAAAGAGGGTTGTATGATAAGATTAAATTGCTTTGGTTATGCTGGCTTTCAAGAAGAAAATGATTCCTTTGTGTTTTTTGTTGTATATCTGTACCATCCCATGAACAAGGCTAAACCATAAATTCCTTGGCTTTCATGTAGGAAAGCCTTTTGCACATTGAGAGTTAGTCACAAAAATATCTTTTCTGCAGGAGCAATGCAAGGGGGCACAGGATCTGTGGGACAAGCCTGGGAGAGAATATGTATAGGCTTGCTCAATTTCATTTAAAGCAATAGAAATTAAGGTACCCCAGTCAAGCATGTAATTGGATATACTTGGTCTTCTACTGTCTTTGTTGTAGCTCAGTTGAAGGGAATTTGTAACAGGAGATACCCAGCCCGATCTGTCCTTGACAGCCTCTGCACTTGATGTATCATCAGCAGGGAAGTAATACTACTTCTCCCTCAATATGTATTCAGAATGATAAATTTGGCACTAGTGAGTGATTTCCTATTACTGCTGTGCATGTGCATGCTTAGAGGTGTGTCAAACCTTTATCCTGGTGTATGCCGGGGGCTCTCTTTGGTTGTTAAGGATTGGTCTTCTCCAAACACAACAATATGAAGCAGCCTAATAGACTCCTCTGGCAGAGTCTAGGCAGAATCAGCTTTCCGTTCCTGCAGTTGAAGGTCTCAAGATGCCTCTTACAGATTCTGCAGAGAGCTATGGACTAATTTTCCATTGGATACCACTCAAGTCTTAGTTTACGCTCTCCTCACCTGTTGGTGAGAATTGATTTGGTATTAACTAGGAATCTTGGAGTTACCTTTCCAATTTTCAAGAAAAGTTTAGATAACAATACAAACAAAGTATTGGCTATGCTCTCCAAAATGGTTAACATAATGAAGAATTGTTATAAAAGATCTATGGAAGAAATGTTAGAGAGAGATTTGCTAGTCTGTTCTTTCTAAGGTCAAACTTAGAGATAGTCTCACTTCTGCCTGTGTTCAGCTGGCTGGCTGCAGCCAGGCTTGCTCATACCAGCTGAGTTTGTTAAAGAGCCCTTGCTTGTGAAGCATGCTAGTGTTTTGTGACCCTTTGGTTATTCCAAGGCTCCCACTCAGATATGACTTCCTTACTCCAACTGTACTGCCTCTCTAGTTCAGAGGATGACTTTTTGAAGATCCATCCTTTGAATGCCAGTCTACCCTCCCCTCTTTGAAAATATCAACACTTTATTTCAAAAGTCAGATGCTGCCATCTGGTCTGATGAACAGCTCTTTGATTAGTGAGGAATGTCCCTCTCCATCAGGGTTGTGTTAAACTGATGGAAGGGGAATTGCTGTCGCTGGTAGTCTTGGTCTTGGATTTGCATGTACTGTTTGTGAGTATGTGACTGCAGTGTCCCTTTGAAAATCCTATAGCAGACAACTGTGGTGCTATTGAATTCAGTAGAAGCAGACGTAAAGGAAGATGTGGCTAATGCAGGGCCCTGTTAGCCTTCTGCTGTTGCTAAACATGTTGTGCAATGGGAAGGCAGCTTTCTGGAGGGCATAGTATGAATGAAATCTTTTGTGAGTGTCTATGTATCTTATGCACACAGCAAATAAGGCCCCCTCTTGTTGTTTTTTTTTAAACACAAGAAGCCCTTTGGAAAGCTAGTTGCTCTGCCTTTGTTCGAAAGGAAGATAGAGCCCCTGAACCAGCAGTGTTTGCTTGTCTTGTGCCAAACAGGACACATGGATAAAGTCTTTGAGAGTTCTTCTTTGCCGCGTTCTTTAGCCTCTCCTACTTGGGCTGGGGCAGCCTC